CGCTAATGATTAATAGCAAAAAGAAATCGCATGTATAGTTTAAATAGTACCAACACTTTCTGCGAATAATGTTGTTTGGTATCGAAGCTTTTCAAATAATACTTAAGTAAATACAGTATTTGGCAGAGCAACTTAAGAATATAGTATCAAATAAGAAGGTAATTTTGTCATTTAGAATCACTTAAATTTTTTTATAAGAAATAAGCTTCTTAGAATGCATGTACATACTTCTTTGTGATGCAACCACATTTTTAATATTATCATAATAAACGTTGAGGTACTGAGTATTTGAAAATTTAAGCTAATTTATACATTTATATTGTTTTGCTGGAGAGATGCCTTAGATAAAAAAGCAAGTAAATACTTTTGTGCATATGAAACGCTTTATGTGAAAATATCACTTAATTTTAGAATATCTCATACCCTGCATATATATATATATATGTATGTGCGTAAGAAGAATTTACTGTAATTAGTTATTTGAAGGAATTATAAGCTGAAATTAGAAAAGTTACTTATCTTAAGATATGCAAAGGTACACTAATAAGGCATTAAAAAAACTAAAAAATTAATTTTTTTTCTTCCTCTTTTGTTATTGTGATTAAAATTATTATCCTTATCAAAACCAAAAGGTAGTCCAAAAGTTAACGTTTTAAATCAAAGGCATGAATAATGTTGAACACGTTAAGAAAACACAAGGACTTGCAATCTCGGTCTGACCTTTAAGTTAAATGCATTTTTCTGCATTTTTAAATCAGAAACACCTCTTAGGAATAAATTATTGTGAATAAAATAGATGAGTATTTGTAGATAAACTCGGTGAATTTTCATAGCAATTAAATTTCTGTAAAACTCCTTAAAATAATTATATTATCTTATTAAGAATTACACTGAGACAAAAGCAAATAATTTATTAATTATTTTAGAAATAAATACTACTTAATGATTAATGAAATACTACATAATATTTAAAAGTTTTTTATTAGGTTTTTACTTTGTTTTACCTTTTACCCTATGGAGGCGAGTTTTTGTCTATCTTAGTACCTTATTTTCCCTCCTGCCCTGACTATGCAATTTGTTAATGCAAAACAAGCCTATGCTTTTATAAATGCAGACAACTTTTTGGATAGGTTTGTATGCACTGAATGGTATGCGTCGAATCTATATAAACCTTTTGTGGCCAAGACTATTGACAATATTACCAAGTTCTATCCATTGCAAAGTGCACAGATACCTTTTAACCCAGATTGGAACGACATTTCTTTCGCCTCTATTACGGGCGCAAAAAATGACATCAAAATGGACAACATTGCCTTCATCCTTACACCTAATACAATTGCAAAGTGTATATCATCTAGTTATCGTATTGCTTTTGTTCTTGATTTTAGTCAATCTATGTTTACTCCAATGGCGAGTGGATCTTGCTACCTTAATACTGCAGTTAAATGTGTCGAATCTATTTTCTTCAAATTATCGGCATTTGTTGACCACCTCGAATTTTCTGAAAGTCGTTTTGTTATACCTACTCCATTGATACGCCTTACAACTGTTGCAGTTACCCCAGACGCAAGATGTTGCATTTTGCTTCATGCTTGGAAATTAAACCATTCAGAAGTCAGGTCTAAAATAAATCAGATATCAAGGAAACTCTTTAAGCTAGAACAACTTTGGGCCCATTCGCCTGCTTGCAGCAAGACATGTACTCAAAAAAGAGCATCGTCTCAGTTGATAGATCTTCTGAGAAGTGGCGCCGTTTCCGTTTCACTTATGCAGGCTGATTCTGCTTTAAGTTCAATTATAATTCTTACTGATGGTTGCTTTGCAATGTCCGACATGAATGATCTTGATCGAAGTATGTCTCATCTCAGAGCTGCTGAGATCCAATGCTCCTTTATCCTCTTATCTTCTTTTGACCTTGATATGTCTTCATACAACCCTTTCCAACAGGAAGGACTAGGGTTATCCTTAGCCTTATCCAGTGGAGCCCACCTCCCCCACACTGATTTATGTCGTTTTGTCTCACATGCGACGATTGGCTTTTGCATAAGTACTTATTCTGATAAATGGAAGCAAATATTAAATGAGAAAATAGTCCTAAATGCTTGGAATAGCGTACATGATCTTGTTCTCTCGTCTGAGTTAATGGATGCAAGAATGCATTCCCTATCCTCAGAAGGGGATTTACATTGGATGTCGATTGACGAAATAGAACCGTACACCAAGCTTATAATTTCCCCCTTTCGAACTGTATTTGCAGCAAGAATCAGGGATGGTTATCGCCTTAGATCTGTTTCTAATATTGTTTTAAGTCCAGCTAAATCTAAAAAGCCATCTGATACCCAATCTCCTGCTCTCACCGAACTGATTGGATCACCTAGGGAAGATGATCGCGCAAATCACGATACTTCACAAAGATTATTTCAGATTGAACTGGTATTGGCCTGGAAGCCGGGCATAATCTTTCGATATTTCATTACAGGCAGTTGGCCTTTGCATCGTTTTGCTCTTCCCAATGCCAAGTCTAATCTAAGTACTCTGCAATCTGGAGAAGAGAAGTTGCACTATTCGTGTAATACAGAAGATGAATCTGACTTGCTCAATTTAGCACCAAATGAGCTCTCCTTGCTTCTCAAAGGGACACATTGTAGAGTGCAAATGAAGCTTAACGCTAACTACTCTTTCTTGCATGATGTCACTTGTTTGCGCAAACTGCCCGTTAGAAGTCATTTCAGAGTCTCCATTATAAATCGATTTGTATTTCATTTCCGCTTATTGAATCTCGTTGATCGTTGTCTTGAAGATGTTTCATCTGTCTCTAATTTATCAGATTATTTATGTGTTCCAGAACAATACCGAGATGGTATTTTGCCAGTTTTCCTTATCACTCAGTTGTCGGGGGGGCAGCAAGTTATTCAACCCACAAGTGTGTTTCAACATAACTCTATTGCCCCCAAATCTATTCGAACTAAATCCGGTGAAAGTGAATCTGTAGATCATAATTCCATCACTGTTGACCGCTTTATAGATGCATGGCGTTTTCTATTTGATCTTGATACAGCTCAATGCTACAGATGGTTGCATATAAAGACGATATTTGCCATTTTAGAACATGACTCTCCTTTGCCAGCAAATCTTCATATTCCTTTAGACGGGAAGCAATATACAGCAACTCTTCTTTGTCGGCAGGCGCTTTCCCAAGTTCATTCATTTTTGTCTACTTGGTGTAGTTTTGTTCTTCTGGAGAACCACACTTATGTATGTTTGAATATAGACGAGAGAGTGAAAACTTTTGTTGCTAATTCTAAAGCACAATTCATTTCTTCCACTGGAGTCGATACTAACGTTCACTTAGACACTAGCAAGAATCCTCTTCCTTTTAATCATTATTTTTCCTTTATTCGCTTGGAGATGCGCCTGGCAGAGCTGAAGTTTTCAGAGTTATTTATTCGTATTGCTTTTGTTGCTGGCACTCCAGCCTATCTTCGAAGAATGTTTGTCCAGATTTTGACTAATGAATTACGCACCCTTAGATTTCCGCAGCGTGGACGCCAAGCTATACCCAAGTCTCGTCATAAATCGGGAGCCGCTCCTAAGCGTGCGTTGGAAACATTGAGTCAACTTCCTCCTCTTCAACGATCTTGGGAGGAGACTCCTTGTTGCACACTTTTTAAGTGCCGACTAGATCGTCTGATATTAGAACGGGGTTCATTCACTAAAGTAGTACCTTTAAAGCGTCCAAAGCTTTCCCCTCTTATTACTTCTGCTGGCCATCTAGAAAATAATTGTTTAAACAAGTTTTTGTCTAATTCTGATGAACATGGACCTTCCACTACTCTAACTTCACAAGGTCAGGTGACTGCTTATGAATCTTACGAGGAGAATGTTTCTAAACTCCTGTACCAACACTTATATCGAAATGTGTGTGTCTGGTGTGTCAAGTCGTCTCAGACTCTTCAGATGATGTTCTCCAGTTTGGTTAGCTTGCGCCTCCAGGAGGGCTTTCATTTTGCTAGGGCTGGCCCACAACCTGGATTCACTAATCTTGTGACTGAAGTCTACATTGCTCCGACTTCGAATTCATCAGATCTGGCTCCTCAATCATGTTTAGTTCAGTATCTCCTGTACCCAATTTGGCCCACTTCTAGAGTTTCACGTCCCCATGAGTCTCAATTTATAGCGAGCCAGAATTCGACCACAATAAGCATTCATTCGTCTGAAATACCTGATTCTACATCCTTTGTGGTGCAGGTCGCCATTGAGCTATGGATTGAGCCAAAAGATGGACATATGACTGGTCTATCTCCCCAGAACGCTTACTGGAATGGAGCCGAATATACCGAACTTGCCGGTCGGATCTTTGAGCTCGATCGGACCACTCTTTCTGTTTACTCTTCATTTGATTTATTTTGTCCAAGCAACCAATTGCAGCAGAAACAGCATCAAGTTTCACGGAGATCCTCTGACCCAACAATTCGCTCAGTTGGCTTTTGCCAATTGCATACAGCGTCTGCTTTCCATCAATCAGGACTGGATGCCTCTATTCTTGGTGGAGAGATCGGTGCTTCATTCATTCCAACGAGTTTCTCTTGCTTGGCTCGTTTATCGCCTCGATTTACACTTCTTTTATCCTTTTCCCTCATTTGTGATTCAGCTAATTCCTTATCACCGGGCCCAATGTGCGAGACAGTTGGTTCAGGTCTCATAGATCAGATATGCGAACAACTTCTTAACTGTTACCAAGCTATGGAGCTGACTATTGGGGATGGTGATCAACTAGAATTTTCCCGACATCTTGCTATTAATAATTCAACATTTCCATCACTTATACCTCCACTTCACTCCGAAATGTCTGCCATGCCTACAGAATCTCAAATACCCGGGTCCAAATATGCTTCCCATCTTAATTCAGTGCTGACCAATTGTAGTTCACTGAAGTGGCGATTTTTCGTTTTACCAAAGGATGCTCTTCATCGCTTCGCTGGTCTCAATTCTTCAGGTGACGGCAACCTCCTGGATTCGGATACCACTCTTTACACCATTATCGCCATACCTACGAATTTTTCGAATTCTAATAAAGTGAGTTTGCATATCTAATTACTGATAAATAAAAACAAAATAGTGTATTAGCTACGAAAGGTTTTTTTTCCAAATACATATCCATGCCTAATGACGGTCATGATGCCATAATATTA